TCTCCATCTGAGTGCTACACTCCATCTGGAGTGCTTCTCTAACCCTGCTCTGTGATGCTAATTTACTGATCCAGATCAAATAGCACAATAAGCCAAACATCTTCAGAATATGCATCTCTTATAATCAAACAAGCATACTATTGCGTCATCCTGAATCATTGCAGCTTATTGCCTCCTGCCAGTAACAACAGCTAAATAATTGAGGCAATCTCCAGCTATGGTTTATTCAATACTATATAAACTGGGGTTTGGTTTGTTCTCCTAACAGACCAGACTCTTGAGCTATGAAACAACACTTGCTTCCGATTCTGGCTTATTTGGTAAATGTTAATATGTAAGCTTGTTCAGATCAAGGTTGGGGAACCTGTACTCCACCAGATGTTGCTAAAGTACATTCCTTCTCAGCTCTTGTAGCTACCATGGTACACAGGATGCTACAAATTTAAATTCTGTAACAACTGACAGATTGCAATGTCTTCCTCCATGGTGTACTTCAACTAGCAAGAGAATCCAGATAGAAGTGATCAGCCAGCATCCATTGGCATGAGTGTTTGGTCTCACTAAACCATGATTCTTCAGAATTCTGCCTAATCATTGCACAGTAATGCCTTCAAACCACCCGTCTCACCTCTTGAAAAAGCATAAAATAAGACTATTTATCCCAAAGATCTTGTTTTAAAAAGAGTACAGCATATAGAGTGAAGCAGCCCTATTGGCATTATGAACCTGTGTGAGATGTATTATCATGCAGTTCATCTGACTCCTGGTTTCTTTCACTTGACATTTGTAATGTTCTAGCAGTTTTATGGTGAGGACAGCTGGAGGCCTGTAAATTGTAGAAATAAATAAGCAAGCTATGGAATATACACATAGGAAAGTAAAGAATGTGAGTGCCCAAGGTGGAAGAGAAGAAGCTTGGCAATATGGATATAACAGTTTCTTTCCAAGAAGAAAATGTCTCAGGCAGCTGACCTGCTAACACACGTGCGCAATGTTTTCACTGTCATCATCATCAACATCATCATCACCATCACCAGGGACCACTGTTGTCGTTTTTTCCTAAGCTCTGCCTGGAATATCATTAAGATGTCTGAGCAGTTTCAAACCACATATTTATGATAGGGATGCCTCCCATAAAGAGGCATGGAAACAGAGGCTGCGTCTAAATCAGCGTATATGACTGTTGACCAGACCCAAATGCAATGTAGTTTCTTGTTAGCGTCATCCGCTCTTGAGAATAAATACAGCTCTCCTTAGTGTCTGCTGAGAGGGAAACAAGAGACAGGTGACAAATCACGACTTTTAAACATTTCTCTCCCCTAATCAGCTATAAATATAATAGTGAGTCATTAGTAAAATATCAGCTTGGAGTCAGAAGAAAGACTGTTTCTGCTCAGAGATCTTGTGCTGAAGTGCACTGTACTTGAGATTCTCAAGCAATTTTTAGCCCCAATCCATTAGAATCACTTCCTTTTCCTGCCTTATTGCTGTCATATTTTAGTTATCTATGAACAATTCTCCTTCACTTCACTATGGGTATGTTAAGCCCCCAGCATATTTTGCATCCAAAAGGACTGAGATCTTTGTACATTTATGTACTGAGTCTTCCTGCATCTGGTAGTAATTCATAGAGAGATGAGAAATGGTATCTCAGGAGTTGGCCACTGGTGACTTCAGGGCCAAATCTATGGCTTTGGTTGCCCATCCCCACACTCCAACACACACTCCAGTTGATTTTAATTGTATGTTCTAATTTTATTGCTGTTGTTCTAAACTTCTAATTGTGTTATTGGGATGGGTCAACAGGGATATAAAACGTTTTTGTGCCTTTGGCCTGCATATCTAGTCCCTTGGCTTATTTAAACCTTAACAATGGTTGCTTCTTGCCAAATTAGATGCAAGAGGACACTTGTTTAACCAATTCATGTAAAACTGAGAGGGGAAGAAGGGCAATACTTATTTTGCACATTATGATGCTATAAGTGAACTAAAATAAGGAGAAGCAGATTATAAGGAGTAGAAGAAAGATGGGGGTTTCCCTCCCTTATCTATCCCATCCCACACAAGCTGGATTCACACTTGCTAAACTCTAAACCTAGTGGCAAAACACAATTATTGTATTCACATATCATGGTATCTTAGCTGAAGATATATGGTATCTTCAGCTAAGATACCATATAATGGCTTATCATGATGGCCCGGTTCACACCATACAGTATGTCAGGACAGTGGATGGCTTTCCATCAACATGCTGAATGCCAATCTCCCAACCCCACTGTAGCTTAGATTAGTCTGTGGTGCAAACCCATTTAATAGTCTTCTATCTCATTTCAAGCTTGCAGGTAAACAAAATGCCAGCTAAGCGACGGCATGGGATACATAATTCTAATACATAATTCATAATACAGTGGACCCAGAGATGTTGCTACTTCAGAGGAATAATCCCACGTGGCTAGAAACATGGGGAAGGGGAAGATTGCCTTTCATTGTTACTCCTATTTGGAGGGGCCTCTGACTGAAATCAGTGAAGCGGCAAAGGACAATATTACTTGAGGAGATAATTGATCCTGTAGATGAACGGTCTGTGAAATCAAGAATGGTCTATAGTGTATGGCGAAGAGCCAGATTAGAAAAATTAGGTGCTCTTGGGTGAATCTACCTCTCTCAAAGCATCTCCATGGAAACATGGAACAGCTCCAGACCTCTGCAGTCCGACAATATTGTTTCTGTTTGAGTTTTTTTTTTTTTTTTTGCTGGTTTATCTGAAACCAGTGGAAAACTGATATTTTGTTCTGCAAAAACTGTTTTTGCCTTATCTGCCTCCCAGCTCCTTGAGGTCAGTCATATATTAATATTTCATGCTGCAGAGAGGTGGCTTGGTGGCTTTGCAGCTCTCCTGCTCATAGCAACTGTTGGATCATTTCGCATAGAGAAATGAATGCAGTGTGAACAAGAGCATGGAACAGGGAGAGGAAATACTAGCAATTTATTTTCTTCCTCTTTTGTTTGAACAGGGTAGGAGGGTTTTGTTCAATCAGAACCAGCTGTAGAGCAAGTAGCTGAGAGCAAGTCCTGATTTCATTGTTTCGTTGTTCTCTCCCTCAGCATTTTAGTTTCAGTTAAAGTGAAGATGACCATGTTTCACCTCTAACTATTTCTGAAGGGAAGGGAGTGGAAATTGGCAGTATGCAAGTGCCTTCAGCTTAATCTTTCTCATAAGCTTGCTGTGGAGACAAATTAGGTAGTGGGAAATAGCTATGCACATTGCTTTGGGCAACTTTAAGAAAAGGGGATTGATACATAAAAATCATATAGAGGGATGATGCAGAAACTTTACAGTCTTAGTGCACTTACTTCCTGGTCAAGTTGTACCCAACTGCATAGAAATAATGTATTTTCCTCCATTCCATAGTATCTTATATAATCCTGGTTTTAGGCACAGTTGCTATTTCATGCACTGAGGGAATTTGAACCAACCAAGTTGGGGTCAAAGATTGTCTTGAATTCTGTTTTTTCTTCTCCATACTCTTAAGTTATTGTTTTGTACTACTATCGATAACTGCAGTAACATTAGACTTTTTATGGGGTCTTGGCTATGAACCTCTTCATAAGAAATGCCATTTGCTTGCTTTTGATTGAGATTCCAAACACAGGCCAACAGGAATTTATGGACTGCTTGATGTAAACAGCCCTTGTGTTAATCTGTGGGGAAATAAATGTCAAATGTTTGCAGATAGAAAGTTCAAGCTGACTGAAGGGGAATTTGAAGGCAAGAGAAATAGGAGTCAAAGAGGAACTCCTAAGCTGTAGCTTGTATTTTTGGTATCTCTGCAATGCCCAGAAAAGGCCTCATGCCTGCAAGTCTACAATTTGGGAGAAGGGGGTGGTTAGGGCTGGATTCCTCAGGGAAAAATGAAACACCGTCCTAACTCCTTTTACTAAAAGAGGTGTTGGTGGTGGATGTTCAGAAGCAAATAAAGCTACTCCCATCTTTTAGTGTTCTGCCAGTTAAGAACTAGAATGATTGGCTCTTGTTTTTAATTAAAAAAAAAACCAATGTAATGGAAGATCCAAATGGAAAAAGGAAAAACACTATAAAAAATCAGTTACAAATAAACAATTTGGAAGATGGGTCTCACATTTTGCAAACTTTATTGTTAATTTGCTTTATACATTTTAAGCATATCTTTCAAAAAAGGGGGGGGGAAGAATTTAAAGATGATAGTAAGGACCCTGCCCAATTATTATTAACATGTTGAACAAAAGGAAGCCAGGTGGCTTCCAAACAGTCCTGATACAAAGGATTGAGTGTTTTACATTTTAATTATACACGTCAATTGTAAATTAGAGAGAGAGCTGTGTTGTTGTTTTTTTTAAGCTAGTTTAAAATTGTTAGCCTAATATTTTTTCTCTCCATGTTTTTCTGTTTGTGTTAGCTTAGGAAGCTCTTGCCCCAGCATAATCTTGGACCCACACACTCTGTCACAAAATTTCTGGCTACAGGCCCCCCACACACCTAAAACCTACTTGGTGTTTTTCATGCAGGGTGCTGCGTTGTGCTTCTTAAGGTGGCCTCTGAAATTCCAAATCAAAAACTGGCATGATGAACACATTAGCAGGAGAAATGGCTGCAGTGCTTTGCGCTAAAGAAGCCCTATTCACATTTGGGGGTGGGGGGCAAGAAGAATCAGAAGGCTCCTCAAAGCAGCTGCCGTACGTTGGCAAGCACATAAATTCTGAGACTGCTAGAAATAGGCCTGTCAGACCTGAAATATCACTGAATTTCATTAATCTTGAATGTGCATTACCACTCTGGCTTTGATACGGACTAGACTGCGTTCATTACTTTCTAAATACCAGAAAACATGATATGGGCTCTTGAAAAGGAGACAGCAGGGAAGGGCTTAGCAAGCATGTGAACCAGCCCACTGCAATCTCATTGGTGAATGAGGGGTCCGCCTTGTGGTATTGTGCCAGAGAAGGAGAGGATTAAGGGACGGAGGTCAGTAACGCAGTAACTAGACTGAGGTGATTTTTCAAGGGCAGGAAGAGGTCACTGAGAGCAGCCGTTCAGAGCAGATGCTGGATGTGAAGACAATGGATGAAGGTCCCTGAACTCAAGGTGCTAGATGTTGAAAAGAACACGAGTCCAGCTTGGGACGGATGTGGATCAGATTGCTGAATAGCAAATGACTGGAAGTTGGGGGTGGGGGGAGGAGATGGAAATGGAATAAGAGTTGGGCTTGGGAAGAAAGTGGGGAGAAAGTGGGAGAAGAAGTTTGATTATTGATTTCTGCCTTGTTGCTGATCAGAAAAAGGAGCCAACTTTGGTCTGTGTATTTATAATAAACCTGACGCTCATTTCTTCCCTGAATTATTCAGCAGGAGCTGTGATCTCAATTACAGAGCATGTCCCAGTGGTACAAAGAGAGAGAAAGAAGGGGAAAATGAGATTGTGGACTGTGCAAACTCTAGTGCAGGATTTGAAAGGGCAGTGACAGATGGGGACTTACGTTGTATGTAATCAAGCCAGTTCTGAACAGAGGAGTGGATGAACAGGTCTTGAATGCCCGTGTAATTTGGACCTGGCTGGAATCACTGTGTTTTTCATGGCATTCAGTATGAACAAGGAATCAGAAAGAAAGTAGGTGTGGTCCAGAAAGGAATGAGTGACTTGACTTTACCCACTTGGTCTGTTTTAGACGGAAAAGGAACCTAAACAAATATTCTAGTTCCTTCCAACGGCCCATCTATTAAATTCTGTAACAAGCTGAAGTCAGAAGTACCAGTTTTTCAAAAAGGACATATACAGATAAACATGTTATAGCATGATCTGTTTCAAAAAAACTTAGGGGTAGCACAGTGAACTATATCATGTTCAGTCATAATGTGTGATAATGATTGTCTTCATTATAAATGTGAAAATAGGATATATTGGACTCCAGTTCCCAAAATCTCCTGGAACTTGAAGTCTAGGAGGCTGGAGAAGGTTGATGTTTTAAAAGGTTCTATCATAGTTTACATTGCATGGTCCTCAGTACAATTCTGGCCATTAAAATCTTTGAGATGTACTAAACTATCTTTTAGAGGGCAGTTCTGGTATCCCAATCTTCAAAGACATCTTGTCATCAAACATAATTCGTTGCAGGAGGCATCCTGAATGTGTGTCAGTATACTGCATATACCTCCTGGTTGATTGGATATGGTCAGCAGTATGTTGGCCTGCAAGGTATCATCTAGATTGAAGATCTAATTTGCATAGAATAGGGTGAGCATGATTGATTGATTGACTGATTACGCGCTGTCAAGTCATTTTCAACTCTTAGCGACACGTAGATTTTCTCCATGATGATTTATCCGTAGCCTGGTCTTTCAGGTCTTCCAATGATGCACTCATTGCCACTGTAACTGAGTCCATCCACCTTGCTTCTGGCCATCATCATCTTCTCTTTCTTTCCATCTTTCCCAGCATTAGAGCCTTTTCCAGAGAGCTGTATCTTTGCATAATGGGCCCAAAGTAGGATAATTTGTGTCTGGTCATTTGTGCCTCAAGGGAGAATTCTGGCTTGATTTGTTTGAATTATGCATTGGTTTGTTTTCTTGGCTGTCCACAGTATTCTCAGGAGTCTTCTCCAACACCAAAGTTCAAAGGCGTCAATACTCTTCCTATCCTGCTTCTTCAAAGTCCAACTTTCACATCCATAGTGTCACAGGGAATGCCATGGCTTGCATGATTCTGATCTTTGTAGGTATAGATACATCACAGCATCTGAATATCTTTTCCAAGGCCTTGCCTTCATGGCTGTTCTACCAAGTGCTAGTCTGCGGTGTATTTCTTGATTGCTTGTTTCTTTACTGTTGATAGTTGAACCTAAAAGGCAGAAGCTATCCACCACTTTGATATCTTCATTGCCAATTCTAAGGCTAGTTGTTCTACCTGTTGTCAGTAGTTTGGTCTTTGTTATATATTTTAGTCCCATTTTTTTCACTGTGCCCTTTAACTTTTAGTACAGTATTAGGGCTTGCAGATCCTTTGCATTTTTGGCTTCCAGAGCAGTGACTTCAGGATAGCACAGGATATTGATGTTTCTTCTTCCAATGACTTGAGTAAAACTGAGCTTTGGGTGTGCTTGTGACAAACTGTCCAAAACTTGCTCAAGCTGACTGTCATCACTGTTAGCAGGGAAACTGCATGTGGAATGGGTGTAAGACATGTAATGCTCCAATGAATGGTGATAATGGAAGAAACAGAAATGAATGTTGGGAAGAATTGTGCAACATTCAGAATGTAGTTTGGGGGAAAGTATTCTGTTAGGTGGCATGAATGAATGAAGGGGAACAAAAGGAGAAAGTACAATACATTTCTGGGCCATTTGGAGACCCAAGCATGAGTGAGAATGGTGACTGTTTGATAAATATCTGCTTAGGGAAAATTTGCATGTTTCATATTTGAAAATAGGTAGTTTAAATTTAAGTCTATTGTATTGATGCCAAAAGGATGATCAAATACATCTAAAAACAAGATTGAGTTGACTGTTTTTAATGCAGGACTGAGGAAATTAGTGCAGGATACAAAGGGGAGATTCTAAATGTGGACAGTGGATTTCTTTTTTTTAATAATGTCAAATGTGGGTCTCGAAAAAATAGAGAATGGAAGGAAAGGGAAAAAGGGACACTGGACTGAAACTTGAACATCTGCAGGAACAGAAAGTGTGAGAAAAATATTAGAAGAAAGATTAAGCTCCCCAAAGAATAAATGGAATGTGGAGGTAAGAAAAGTGGATGTGAAATCTGCCTGAGAGAAAGTGGAAACAATGATGTCATAAAATGTCACAGAAATGCATGGGCTGATGGGAAGTATGAAAAGAGATGCTTGGTGAAAGAGCTGTGGATGCAAAAAAATCCATTGAAGAGACTGTTTGTTGCCAAAATGAGGATGAGAAGGATGTCTAATGTATATAGACAGAAAAAAGATAGTTCCAAAGAATGTAATCAAAGAGAACAAGGAACATTTAAGATTAGAATAGAGAAAATGTGGAACACTTTTAATAAAAGTTTAAAAATGTTTTGGAAATAGGTGAGAGGGGCTCAACAACAAGATTCCAGCAAAATGAACTGAATTAAAAATAAAGTGATGAAATAATTTGGGATAAAACTGAAATGAGGTAATGCTGGAAGGAGTATATTGGAAATTTGTTTGGGAAAGATATGTTGAAGACTAAAATTGAAACTGATGCTATAAATGAAAATGGATGAAAAGAAAGTCATATACATTCTTGAGGAACGTATAAATGCAAGGGAGAAACTTTATTGTATGATTTTTGTTGGGGAAAGTATATAGTAAAGTAAATAAGCTTGAATTAAAGAAAGTTTTGTGCTCTTTGATGGTGGTTGGTTGCTGAATGGAGTAAAAATGGTAGATGATGGAAGGAAAGCATGAGTAAGAGTAAACGAAAGAATGTGGAGATAAATGACAGAGCCAGAAGAGACCTTGAAAGACTCTCCAGAGGCTACAGAGCCTTGGGCAGAAAGGTGAAGGTCCTGGGAGCACAAGTAGGTTTTTTGTTAGTCTTTCCAATTGAAGGTGATGACACAAAGAGAAAAAAAATAGAATCCTGAAAGTCAGCAACTGGCTACATAGATGGAGTTGCCAAGAATGGGTTATTTACTGCCTCCCTTCCCTGGGCTTATAAGCCACTCCAAGTGCAAATGACTTTGAGTGGTATACATCCCAAACTTCATAGGTCAAGCTAAAGCACAGAAGTACAATAAAATCAAAATATATCAACAGCATGATACATCCCATACATATAACACTGGGAGCACTGATCAATACATTTTACTGTTAGGAATCACAAAATTCTAGCCCCCAAAGGTCTGTTGGAAAAACCAACTGTTAATGGCTTTTCTGAAAAGCAATAAAGTAAGAGCTGCCAGTTTTCTGGGGGGATGCTATTCCAGAACTTAGTGGACGGGCAGATACTATTGGGAGTCAGCAGTCCCATACCCAGCTCTTGTTCCATGAAGAGCTTTAAAGGTGACAACCAGCACATTGGATTGCACCTAGAAGTTAACTGGCAAAGCATGTGGCTCTTGAAGAAGTGGGCAAATTGAGATGTGCCCATGACTACTTGAGCCACTGCATTCTGAACCACCCGTGGCTTCCAAACTCTTTACAAGGGCAGCCCCAGCCATATAAACTGCATTGCAATAGTCCAATAAAGAGTTGACTAAGGCATGAGGGATTATGAGGAGAGTTTCCCATTCCAGGTTGTAGCCGGCACAAAAGATGGACCTGTGTGAAGGCCCTTGTTGAGTGTCAAGCCCCTTACAGGTCATAATGAAGGGAATAAGACTCACACAGACTTCAAGGAGTTTAAATGTAAGAATCAGTGGAATCTTGGTACACAATCTTGGAAACTGCAATGGACACCTCCAGCCAGCTCTTTTTATTGGTGAGTTCATTAAGGCAGAGTCTGTATGAAATTTTAAATCTCTTCTTTCCAAGATTTCTGCAACCTGGACTCAATTGCCATAACTGAAATAAACCACAACTCTGCCATGTGTTGATTGTTTATGTCTAAATCTCCTCCTGCTTCTTTCTCAGTCTCTTCATAAACTCTCATAGCCCTCCTAGCTGCAATTGCCATCTGCTCATCAAGTCAGAGCTATGAGTCCAGGAGGCCCTTCAAGTTATAAGCCAATTGCATATTGGGGAGTGTGAACCCATCCAGAACTAAAGATGTTATTTCTCTGGAATTGGATGACTTCTGAACCCAAAGCCATTCCATCTTGCTGGGATTGAGCCTAAATCTATTATTCCCATCCAGAATTACCAGCCTTGAGGTACCAGGACAGCATCTTGGATGATATCATCTGTTCAGCCCAAGGTCAAGATGTAACGGTGAGTATCATCTATTTACTGATAATTCCCAGCCCTGTAGTGATGAATGACCTTGCCCTGTGGTTTCATTTACATGTAAGTGTGAAATGAGAGTGGAGAGAGCATTGAGCTCTGTGGGATCTACAGCTCAGGAGCCCAGGGCTTGATCTCTTCTCACTACTAACTAGAACCTCTTTAAGAAGGAGGAGAACCACTGTAAAATGGTGAGCCATTTCCAGACCTTCAGTGGTGATCCAAAATGTTTAGATTCTGTGACAATGGCTTATGCTACCTTCACGAAGGACTCCTAGGAAGAGATGGGCTACATCTTACAAAGACTGAGAGGACGTGTTTGACAGCCATCTCATGAGTCTCATCAGGAGGATGTTAAACTAGCACAAAAGACAAAAGGAGTTTAAATGTAAGAATCAGTGGAATCTTGGTACACAATCTTGGAAACTGCAATGGACACCTCCAGCCAGCTCTTTTTATTGGTGAGTTCATTAAGGCAGAGTCTGTATGAAATTTTAAATCTCTTCTTTCCAAGATTTCTGCAACCTGGATGAATGAATCCATGCAACCAGAATGAAATATGCAACCAAAAAGCAAAACATAAAGGGAGAAGCAAGAAGCCAGGTGGGGACTCAGAGTTTTGCAGGAAGAAGAGTCCAGTAGGTGATGCCATTCAAAACCTCAGATATTTCTACACCAGTGCATAGAATAAAGTAGTCTCCAGGTTAAGAACATCTGACTTAAGGACAACCCCTAGATACGAATGGACTGCCTATTACTAAAAAGAGTGGATGGCGTTGTCCTTCCTTGAGCTGATGACCCATTGAAGCTGTGCATTTTTAATATGAAGGCTGTTTTCAGTGGTTCCTGAAAGCATTGCACAGCTTCAGCGATTCATCAGCTCAAGGAAGGAAGATGTCATCTGCCATTTTTAGTAACAGGCAGTCTGTTTATAAGTACAAGTTCCAACTTACGTACAAATTGGAGTTAAAAACAGAGGAATGAAACTCATTCTTAGCCTGGGGACTACCTGTATGGGAAACAAACAGGTAGAACTAGAGAGCTTAACTAAGGAAGACAAATATGAGGAGATAGGCATCAATGACACTTGATAGAGACATATTCTACTGGAAGGCTATAACTTATTCAAAAGGAACAGGCACCCCCCCCAAAAAGAGTGGGGATGTTGCACTGTATGTAAAAAAAATCTATATACTTGGATTATACCTAAAATTATGAAGCATGAAAATCCTGTTAAAAGTGTTTGCGTAAGAATAAAGGGAGAGAGGAACAGAAATTATTTTGTTGAGGGAGCTTATTATAGAGATGAGATGACCAGTCTTCTAAGAGACATGCAATAATGATAACGGAGATTTCAATTATTCCAACATCTGCTGGGAATCTAACTCTATTAAGAGTCAGAGGTCCAACAAATTTTTGTCCTCTCTTGCTGAAACCTTCATTTGTCAGAAGGTGGAAGAAAGAACAAGGGAGATCTGCTATCCTGGACCTAATCCTCACCAATAGAAAGGAATTGGTTGAGGAAGTGAAGGTGACTAGTATTGTGGGAGAAAGTAATTATGTTATCCTTTAATTTGGAACATCCAGGGGAGGAGGAACTGAGAAGAGTCAGACTGAATACTGAACTTGAGAAAAATAATTTTGATGACCTCTGAGGGAAGGCATGTTGGGTCCAGTAGCTTGAAACCTGAAAAAAAAAGTGTCCAGGAATGGGAAATCTAATGAAATGAAATAACTGAAGGTGCAATCATAAAAGAAGGAAAAATCTAAAGAGGCCAAAGCAGGCACACATAGAAGCAAAACTGTCTAAAATGCTAAAGAGAAAAAGTAGCATACATAATAAATGGAAGGAGGGGCATATCACCAAAGAAAATGCAAGGTAGTCTCCAAAAACAGTAGGAGCTGAGCCTTAAAAGACATACCCAAATTAATAACAACACTTTTTTGAATATGTTAGAAGCAGAAGGAAAGCCAAAGAGAATGTAGGTCCATTGCAAGGAGAAAATGGTGCACGGTAAGGGGCATGGTGAGAAGGCAAAACTTCGTAATTTCTTATTTTGCATATGTCTTCTCTCAGAAGAAAAATGGAGCAGTCATTGTTATGCTACTGGGGAAGGATGGAAGGGTAGCATAGGCTAGATGAGGAAAAGGTAAGAGAGAACTTAAACAAATTCAAGTTTCCTGGTCTTATATCCAAGGATACTCAAAGAACTAGTGTTGGTGGCTGTGGTTGTGGAACCACTCTCAGTCATCTTTGAGAACTCCTGGAGGATTAGCAAGTTCCTAAAAGACTAGAGAACAAATGGCAACCTGATCTTAAAAAGGGGGAAGGAGGAGGATCCAGGCAACTGCAGATCAGTTCAACTAATGTCTATACTGGGCAAGATTCTTGAATAGATAATCAAACAGGATGTTTGTGAACACTTTGATAGCATGTTACAATTAACAAGAGCCAGTATGGTTTGGTTGCAAATAAATCATGCCAGACTAACCTCTTCTTCTTCTGTGATAAGGCTACCAGCTTAGTAGATCAGGAGAATGCCACAGATGTAGTATATTTGGACCTCAGCAAAGCTTTGACAGATCTTTTGTGCTACTCTCCTTAATAAAATGGCAACATATAGGCTAGATGATACTATTGTTAGATGGACTCAAAATTGGTTGAATGAACACATCCAAAGAGTACTCATTAATGGCACAATTTCATCTGGGAGAGAAGTATCAAGTGGAATGCCACAGGGCTTTGTTGTGGTCCTTGTGCTGTCTGACAATTTTCACCAGTGACTTGGATAATTTATTTATTTATTATTTACACTGCCCGACTCCAGTGACTCTGGGCAGTTGGAATTGCAATGACATTAAGTTTGCAGACAACACAAAGCTAAGGGTGGGGTAGTACTTAGAGGCAAGAGAGAGAAAGGACTCAAAAATATCTTAACAGTCTTGAGCAGCTGGCTGAAATGAAAAGGATAGAATTTAACAGGAGGAAAGGTAAAGTTCTGCATCTGAGTAGGAAAAATGGAAGACACAAATGTAGAATGGGGTGACCTGGCTTGGCAGCAGTACATGTGAAAAAGATCTGGGTGTGCTTATTGACCGTGCAGCTGCTAAAACAGCAAATGCAATAATTATTCCATTCTTCTCTGCCATGGTCATACCTCACTGGGAATACTGTATCCAATTCTGGACACCAGAGAATTAAAAAATGATGGTGGCAAATCAAGCAAGTTCAGAGAGTTTTCAAGATGGTAAGAGGTCTGGGAACCTCGCCATATAACAAACAATCAAAGGATCTAGATATGTTTAGCACACAAGAGAGACAACTGAGGGGCAATACGATAGCAGTTTTCAAATATCTCAAAGATTTATCACATAGAACTTATTCTCTATTGCTTTAGAGGGCAGAACTAGTACCAGTGGATTAAATTACAAGAAAGCAGTTCAGGCTAGATGTCAGGAGGAACATCATGACTGTAGGAACTGTCAGCAGTGGAACAGACTGCCATATGAAGTGGTGAGTTCTTCGCTGGAGTCTTCAAACAGAGTCTGGAGGTCATCTGTTAGAAATGCTCTAGTGGCTCCTACACTGAGCAGGAGGTTAGACAAGATGACCTCTGAGGTACCAACAGTAAATGGTTCAACACTGAGCAGGGAGTAAAGCAAGGATGTGTGATGTCTTCTTGCTTGTTTAGTGTACTGTTGAATACATTCGTTATATGTTTGTGGTGACATTTGAAATGTATTGGTTGGAGACATGAATGTACATGTACTTTATGCAGGCAATGCCATATTGCTGGTTGACTGATTTGCGGTGAATGTTAGATTGTGTGATGCAAGAAGGAATATGGATCTGAAAATTAATGTATCAAAGCCCAAGGTAGTCTTGATAGGGAAATGAACAATTGCAAGTTATACATGAATGGTGAAAAACTAGAACAAGTAGATGAATTTGGGTATCTTTGATAGAATGTTTATGAATGATGGGAACATGCACAGAGAAATTTTAAGACGTGTCAGTGCTGGTAGGAAAATAATGAGTAGTATGTGGTCTTCTGCAAGGAATGAATGTTTTCTGAAAGAAGTGAAAATCAGTTTACATAAATGTGCTCCTGCCCACTTTGTTTTATAGAAATGAGTCTGGTATGGAGAAACATAAAAGTAATTTGAATCAATGCGGTGGGCATAGGCTGCTTAAGAATCGTAGGTGATAACATTGAAAGAGATGAGTATGGATTGAGTACAAAATGTGGATTGCAAACAGAAGTATAAAAGAAGAATGTTGAGGTGATTTGATCATGTAGAATGGGATCAAATCACAGAACACATTTATGAAGGAAGAGCGAATAGGTCGGGAGGAAGGGAGAAACTAAATTGTTGGGATCCTGGAAAGGAGAGGTGAAAAGTTTAAAGAACAAAAGGCAGCGTATAAAACAGTGTGTGAACACAGGAGAAGCAAGAATGGTTTGCAAGGGTATAAAAATACTGGGGTATATAGTAAATGGGATTAGTGTAAACTAGTTTTAGCTGTTTCCTTTTCGTTTTCTTATCTCATGCCTTTAATTTCTTTGCCTTACTATTCCTTTCACCTTTTTGATGCTCTGCATATCATTGCTTACCAGAAGAGGAATAGTGTGATGGCTATGTTCATGTGATGGGAAACAACTTAATAGTTTGCTTGGGGCCTTCTTAAGATTGTTGGGCCATTTTGGGAAAGTAGATGATGTAAGTTAGCAGGTCTCTTCTTAGATTAATTCATTCTTCTCCCTAACCTAGATGATTTCCAAGCAGGTGTCCCCTAGTTGTGTAGGATTTATGAACATTTGTATTCTGAATTGGTTGGGGAAATCTACACTACAACAGATTGCTCACCTTTAAGAGTGGTTAACAAACTTTGCATTTCCTGATTCATGCTGGGTTTCAAACTGAGGAGAGAAGCGGTTGGAGTTACGTTGTATATAGTTGTGCATCTTCTGTCTAGGATGATGCGG